GGCGGGCGGCGGGCCGGGGCAGCCCTGAAGCTCCGCTCCCCCGCAGTACATCCACTCAGCCGGAATCATCCACCGGGTAGGTATGGCCGCGGTGAGCGCGCCCCGGGCCAGGGCCCCCCCACCCCGCCTGCTCTCACGGCCCTGCCGTGCAGGACCTGAAGCCCAGCAACGTGGCGGTCAACGAGGACTGCGAGCTGCGGGTGAGGGGGCGGGCGGGGGAGCGGCCAGGGGAGGGGGGCCGGGGGACTGGACAGCGGGGCGCGGGGCGGCGGGCGGCCGGGCGAGGGTGAGGAGGCTCTGAGGGCCTGGTGCTGCCCAGATCCTGGACTTCGGGCTGGCCAGGCAGGCCGACGAGGAGATGACTGGCTATGTGGCCACCCGCTGGTACCGGGCGCCCGAGATCATGCTCAACTGGATGCACTACAACCAGACAGGTGGGCCGGCGGCCCGGGAGGCGGGCAGAGCTGGGCAGGGTGCCGAGGCCCAGGGCCCGGCAGCCGGTGGCTGTGAGTGACCAGCCTCACAGGGGCGAGGCCCAGGCGGGTCAGAGCCAGGCCTCGGGGGGCAGAGCGTGGGCCTGGTGTGACGGGTTGTGGGGTCCCAGGCTGGGTCTTCCCGGGGCCCCGGGGGCTTGGGGTGGGCAGGCTGACGGAGTCCCCCCCGACAGTGGACATCTGGTCCGTGGGCTGCATCATGGCCGAGCTGCTCCAGGGAAAGGCGCTCTTCCCCGGAAGCGACTGTATCCTTGACTGGGGCCGTGCGGCCTGGGCGCGCCCAGCCTGACCCCCACTGCTCCGCGGGGGGGTCTCCGTCCCGGCGGGCGCACCATGCCTGAGGTCGCGGGGGGCCGCCTGCCTCGTGCACTTCCTGAGCCCCCAGACATCGACCAGCTGAAGCGCATCATGGAGGTGGTGGGCACCCCCGGCCCCGAGGCCCTGGCCAAGATCTCCTCGGAGCACGTGAGCCCGCCCTTCGCGCCCAGCCCAGACGGGGGAGGGCCGGGGCAGCGTGGAGTCGCGCGGGGCCTCCTTGCCCTGGCGCGAGGGCAGAGTCAGCACGGGCAGCTCTCCCTGCCAGGGAGAGTGGACAGCGCCGGACCCACGGCCTGCGGGCCCCGGGCGGGCATGGCTAGGCTGCTGGCACCACGCCCAGGAGCTCTGGCCGGCTGGGCCCTGGGGGCGGAGGAGCCTGGGCCGCCCTCTGCCGCCCGCCAGGAGCAGCCCCCGAGGCCCTGTCCCTGCGCCCCAGGCCCGGACCTACGTCCAGTCCCTGCCCCCCATGCCCCAGAAGGACCTCAGGAGCCTCTTCCGTGGAGCGAACCCCCTGGGTGAGGACAGGCCCTGGGTCGGGCTGGGCTCCACATCTGGCCCTGGCGTGAGGCTGACCGTGCCCGCTGGCCACTCTGTAGCTGTGGACCTCCTGGGGAGGATGCTGGTGCTGGACAGTGACCAGAGGGTCAGCGCGGCCGAGGCCCTGGCCCACGCCTACTTCAGCCAGTACCACGACCCCGACGACGAGCCGGAGGCCGAGCCCTACGACGAGAGCGTGGAGGCCG